TCGCGACGACGCGGACCGCAAGATCTGTGATTGGTCGGCTTGGTAGCATCGCGTTTCCTCCTATGCATTTCCGGCGTGTTCTTCTGCACCGCCCGCCATTTTTAAATTCTAAGTACAGCGAAACTGTTAAAAAAAACTAAAAATTTACCTTTTCCACCTCGATAAGCTCCAACTCCAACATGATCTGCTCTCTTTCAGTCGCCATTGCTTGTAGTAACCTAAACTCAAAACAGCCGCGAGGAATCTTCTTCTTCTTGCCGCGAGGAATCTAAACACAGTGGAACATTAAAACCCTCCGCCGCCAACTAGCGTTTCGGCGCTGTACTGCAGAGCAACGCAGACCTAAACGCAGAAGTATAAATGCTCATGACGGCGTCGCCTACGTGCGTAGCCCACGCCGTACACTACGGCGTACACTCGACGCAGAAGTATAAATTGGCCTTTAGGCGCGCATGAGCCGCGCGTAAAACGCGTGCATGCTAGAAATAGAACCGACGCCTATTTTTCACGCGACACGCAAGCGTGTTGGAAGCGTTTGCAGGCAAAATAGTATAGGAAAAGATGTTTATATGTCATTTTGTACACGAATACATATTAATAAATTACATTTTGATGTTTGAAAATCTAGGTTTTGACATAAATTCAGATATAAATGTCTTTTTTTTAATCCCATTATTTTTGCCTATATAATTTCATGTCATTTTATTTTTTAAACAGTCGAGTCCTGGTGTCCACTACATATGCTGGAGGTCATAGCATATGAATAAAATATAGCCTATATATATTTTAATTTGTTTCTAATGATCTTAACAATGTGATTACATGAAAAAAAATCAAACAAATTCTTTGAAAAAAACTTTCTGGGCCTCAGGAGGATATAAAGTTAGGATAGGCTACAATAACATCGTAGTGTGTCTTCTGAGTGACGGTCCAACATCAGGTAGGCTAAATATAGGCTCTTTAAGGCTACACAAAATTTGTAAATGTTATTGAAATAAACAGACAGCCGCATGTTTCCCTATTTTTCGGATTTTGGAAGATAAAAGAGGAAATTGTTGTCGTAAAGGCAAGAGCAACAGTAATCCAAATGTAGATTGGTCTGTCGGCGCCCTCCCTCTATGTATAGCGAATATGTATTCGTGTACGCCACGCAGCGCCCCGTCAGACACGCTTCTGGTGTGCAAAGACACAGAAAACGCGACGCAGCCGCCACGCAGCTGACACGCAACAGAAACGCCACGCTCACGCCACGCAGCCAGTGTGTCTCCGGCCTAACGCTTGCCTGCACACAAATGCCGTTTCCAAGGTGACACAGATAAATCATATAAGCAGTGTAGTATTTTCTGGTATTCCGGCCACAGCCGATGGTGTTATGAGTGTAATAAAATGCCCACAGCCCATTGTTCATTTCTACACACAAACACAGCCCGCCACAGTGCAGGGCTCGAACAAATAAAATCGACTCATGTCAAATGTACATTAAATGTAGTGAACGTTCCCACGACTCAGTGCCCACAAACACTACACACAACATGTCCCACGGTTTCTGTAAAACGAAACCAACACACATAAGTTACAGTCAGCTCAGGCCGACGGTGTTTTTAGTGCAGTAAATGTGCCCGGCCCGCCGTCCCGCGCCCACATTCACTCACAGACATGTTAGCACTAAGCCGCTCGCTCTCTCTCAGCAGACTGCTATAAGGGAATCGAGCGCGGCCAGGCTGCCCGCCTCAAACACTGCAAGCACACACAATCTAAAGACACGGGAGGCTGACCCACTGTCTATGGGCTGACCGGTTGACTGTTTGTTGACTTTTGCGACAGTGCTGCGGAGCTTGTGGCCTCTAGGGACGCTAGACGTGAAAGTTACAGGTCGAGCGCCACTAGTGGCCAAAAGTTCCGCAGTGTGCCTTTAACATTTTTATTATAACTTTTCTTTTTGAATGTATTTCAACCTTTTTAATCACACTACTTATTTGCTCTAATTATTAGATGATAGACCTACTACAAACATCACTTATAACCTTATGCATTTTTAACCCGGGTTACATGCGTCTGAGCAAAGAGCGATCTATCGACACGTTACCAAGCAGCGAATGCAAACAAAATGAAAGTGGAACGAAAATACGCTACTCATTTATGCTTCACGGACCGTTTATTAGTTTGGACCAATAATAGACAGAGCAGCGCATAGCCTTTCTTATGTAGGCTATATCTATGGAGCAGCGCCCCGAACCATTGACAGTAAAATAAAGCCCCGAACTTGCCAGTCGCGTGCCAATCTCGATCACGCGACACTGTTACTAGGAGATCCAGTGAAGAAATCAATTGAATTCGCCTCAAAATTAATAACATCATCACTACGAGATCCAGTGAGAAACATTCCGATTCGGCGCAGAGTTCTGTTATAAACCATAGATATCAGATCAAACAGTGCTGACGTGGAAACCAGGAGAAACACTTATAGAACGCTTTCAATCCACAAATCAGCAACATTCACCATGGATTTAGGCTAATGTAGTAACTTAACTCTAACCATAAATATGATAATGTGACAATTTCCCAGCACTTCAAAACTATAATATCATATATAAATGTTTTATTTTTTGTATTTTTTATGTGATGACCAACACATTTTTTGTTCATCCTTCAAAGATTGTCCTAAAACGAAAAATTTTAAGATGTTGGAAAACTCTTATTTAAACACTTATTTAAAAAATAAAAATAAATACCAATGTAAACAGTAGGATGCTTATTGGCTATTTTCACTCCTTAATACGTTTTCACTACTTTTGTTTTTGAATTAATATTAAGACATTATGAATGATAATAACTAAAGTGAATTTCATCTACACCCTAAATTAGGCTTAGTGATTTATTGTCAACCCCAGTGCTACCAGATTTATTTTTTATTTTTTGTAGAACTCAGTGTGAGTTCTCATTTGAGGTGGTGTTGCCCTCAAATTTGAGTCTGGAGCCCTGTGAACTTAAAATAAAACAGCATATCATAATAAAGGTGTTAAAGGTGCAATATGTAACATTTTTGAGTATCTATTAACAGAAATGCAATATGACATCCATAACTATGTGTTCAGTTGTGTATAAAGAACTTACTTAATAAACCGTAATGTTTTTATTACCTTAGAATGAGGCATTTATATCTACATAGGCGCGGGAATCCCCTTCTATGAAGGTCGCCATATTGTGACGTCATGTTTCTACAGTAGCCGAACGCGAACAAACAGCGTTACAGAGCGCGTTTCATCACTACATTGAAAAAGAAGCTGCAGGAAGCTAGAAGAAGCTAGTCATAAACACCGTGAGAAGTGACTTTTCCCTTGTCAGTGGTGTAAATATAGTTGGATTGTTTCATGTAACTTAATTCTTCTCCCTCGCTGTGTTATGGCTTTGCTATGTGGGGATAAATGTGCTGGTTAAGTTCGTGAGACAGCTGATTAGTAGGCTACTCTTGTCATTGACCGTAAAACAGTTACAGGAATCACCAACCCGTCGATCTTGGAAGCATTTTAAGTCTATCGAGTTTCCAAAATCAGAGAAAAAAAGCCTATTGTGTGTAGTAAGTGTGTCTAGGGATGCGGAGGCGCGCGCGCTGTTACAATCACGTCATTTTTTGCCGCGCACACCTTTGGGCTCATGCGGACGCGTCGAGTTTAAACAAGGCTTTACGCTTTAACCAGCTCAGGCACAGTAACCGCTCATATTAGCCAGCTAAACTTTTACTACCCTGTTAGAAAAAATATATAGTTGCATAGTTTCATGTGGTTCTTCTCCCTCGCTGTATTATGGGTTTGCTTTGTGGGGAGAATATGCGGGTTACGTTCGTGAGACAATCAGCTGATTACTATTATTATATTATGTAAGGTGCATTGTGTAATATTTCTGAGGATCTATTGACAGAGATGCAATATAAAATCCATAACTATGTTTTCAGTGGTGTATAAAGACCTTACTTAATGAACCGTTATGTTTTTATTACCTTAGAATGAGACATTTATATCTACATAGGCGCGGGAATCCCCTTCTATGAAGGTCTGAAGGTATGTTTCTACCGTAGCCGAAAGCGAACAAACAGCGCTAAAGAAACCTCATTGCTTGACTTACTACTCTCTGCTGCCGACTCAGACGACGACATATTTTGTCTTACGTCGGCCACCGTAGCTTCTCATTCGAGTTTGAAAACCGAGGGATAGGCCGCGAGTGACTTGCTGTTTGCAATTTGCAAGTTTCACCACTAGATGCCGCTAAAAATCCCACACTGCACCTTTAAGTCTATTTATTATTAAAGAATTTGTCAGTATTAGAGTTATTTTGGGGAAAATTTGAATAATTGCATTGCAAGCTGATTTAAGGTGTGCCCCTAAATTTTCTGCGCTCCTAAAATTTTCAGTCAGGGGCAACCGCGCTCCTAGTAAAAAAAGTTAGTCTGGAGCCCTGAATGGAGCATCTCCTTCTCAGTGTGTTGTGCTCTTGCCGCTTTAGTAATGCCAGCTGACAGTCCAGAAATGTCTGTAGCCATCAAAAACTTGTCAACGACCTCTGCCACAGAGTCATGGAGCCAGGTCCTCTTCTGTTCTGCAGAGCCTTGATGGATGTGGTCTGGTATTACCCTGTCAGGGGTGGCTGTGGCAAAAAAAAAAAAAAAACACAATAAAATTATATCTGCAGACAAGAAAAAAATGTGCTGGATTCCTTAATGTAATCCTTTAAACACAATGTAGCAAACAAACCTGTGACATCATCCAAATGGAAATGTTCCATTGCTGCCGCAAGGAAAAGGGCTGTCGTGTCAATCTGCACAAACTGTTTGTAAGCTGTTTGTATATCTACTATGTGGGCCTTTTTTCGCATTGCTGCATCTGTAAATCACATAGCAGTTATTAAAATGGTGTATGAAACATATCCTCTAAAGATTAAATTCATAGTTCATAAATTCATGATGGCATGTTTTTGTTAGTAGTACTAATAACCCCAGTTTCCCTTAAACGACCAACGGAAAGCAGCCGAATTCATGGTGGCTGTCCTTTTCCAGAAAATTGCACAGTTCATATATCCACGCCAAATTCATGGTTGGCAAAGATCATCTTTAGGGGAGGACTCCTTGGGAAACATGTAGAGAGAAATGTATTTTATGATAAGATACACGGTAATGACTGGAAATATGACCTTAATATGAAGACACATTTTTTTTTGGTTTAGTGAAATAGTACCTCAAGAGATTCATGTTGGCGAGTATTGTGCCATGGTCTTTGGCAGATGCTTTGTTAAAGAAGATCTGATGATATATCTGTAATGCATATAAAAAATAAAAAATAATCTATGAACCAGTCCTTATAAAACCTAAAACATGATTAATTCTATAAGCCTTGAATTTAAAGTGTAGGCTACTTTTAGTAAATGACAATAGTGTATCAGGGTGCATGTAGTTAATTATTAAAGTATACTGACCTCAAAGAGATTTCTAATTGCGTGCCAGTCTTCAAATTTGAAAACGAGGCCTTCCAGACGGTCCTCCTCTGTCTCCCCATCAGCAAACGCCAGCTGGATATTATGGCAATTGCCCTCTGTGAGCCTGTCACCACCGATCAAAATCTTCTCAAGCCCATCAGGACATCTTGGCACATACCTAGACAGAACTTACATTAGATTATCAAATTTTAACACAATCGATCATTTTCTTGTATAGTGTTTTGAATTTTGTGATCGTTCCAGCAAACTTTGAATTGATTTCTGTTGTATTTTTTTGTTTCTTTGGGTTAGGGTGAGTTAGGGTTAGGGTTAGGGTTAGGGAACAGCATGTTTTAATATGCTGTTCATATTCTGTATAGTCGTCCAATCGCGTCTCGCTCAGTGTTGCCAGATTGGGCGGGTTCCCGCCCAATTGGGCGGTTTTCAATTTGATTGTGCGGGTAAAAAAGGGTTTGGGCGGGTGGTAAAAATTTGGGCTGGTTTGGGATCATTTCGGCGGTTTTCAAACATCTACATTTTAAAGTCTAATTGGTTAAAAAAACTAAACTAAAGTGCATGTAGTCCATAAAATCAGTCATCATGACATTACTGTACTACACACACACGCTCTTTTTTTTTTTTTTTTTTTTTTTTTTTTGCAGAAAATTAACATACAAATAACAAAATATGAACAGACAAGACAAGACAAAAAAAAAAGCATAGCTCACATTCAATTTTAACAAATAAGGATATTACAAAACACCAGGGGTATTGAAGAGTGTATCATAGCATTTTAAATATTTCACAGATTTTTTGTTTTTTAACAGTCTTATTGAAGAAATGTAACAATCAAAGTCAGAACAAAACAAATTTAACACAGGACATGAATTAAGAAATTTTTGTTTATGTATGTGAAATTTTGCTAATAAAATAAAAAGGTTAACAATAAATTCCAGATCCTTATTGCTTTTATTTTCATAATACACGGTAACATCCTTTAAAGTAAAGCAATAATTAATATTCATCAGATTAAATATAAAATCAGCCAAATCAGTCCAAAACTGGTTCACGACTTTACAGTCAAATACAGTCAGTATCTCTTTCTCATTATTACAAAAACAGCACATATCATCAATATCAGAAAATTTTGATATTAAAGATTTAGAAGGATAAATGGTATGTAGAATTTTGTAGTGTACTTCTTTTATTTTGTTATTAATACAGTATTTGAAGGGAATTAACCAAGCTCTTCTCCATTCAATATTTTCAATCTTAGAGTTCCAAAAAAAATTCCCTCTAGGAGATATTTTGTTTTGTTTTTGGAAGATATTACAAATATGTTTATTGCATTTTTTCTCAAGTAAACCAACACCTTCTAAAATTAAATTTGGGTTTGTCACAGATAAAGAATTGTAACAAATATGACATTTGACAAGTTGACGAAGTGTTACAGGAATAGCTTTAATAACTGAGTTAAATTCTCTAAACTGTACGGGAAAATTGTAAGTTGACATGAATTGTTCGTAAGTTAAAAGATTCCCAGAATTGTCAAACATTTTTATAAGATGATTAATGTCTCTGTTGAACCAATTTGTTAAAAACAAGGATTTATTGGAAACAGTTATATTCCCATTATTCCAAATTAAAGATGTGTGAGGAGAGAAATTGTGACAGTAACAAATTTTCCATGCAAGAAGAGCTTGCTGATGAAATTTGGATAATTTGAGGGGGATTTTAGAAATTTTATAATCACATGTTAACAGAAATTTCAAGCCACCAATTTGATTAAAGAGACTATGGGGAATATGGTTCCAAAGAGAATTAGGGGTGATCAAACATCTCTTAAGCCAGTTAACCTTAAAGGTCTTATTTACATCCTCAAAATAAAGCATCTGCAGGCCTCCTTCAGCCTTCTTATTAGTGAGAACCCTTTTTTAAGTCCTTGGGATTTATTTTTCCAAACAAAAGAGAAGAATAAATTAGTAATATCTTTGCAGTTAGAATCTTTAACATGCAGTGATAGAGAGGGATAAACAAATCGAGATAAGCCTTCCGCTTTGGATAATAAGACACGACCGTAAATGGAAAGATCACGTTGTAACCAGCAATTTAACACTACTTTTGTCTTCTTTAATCTAGAAGAAAAAAATAGTTTTTGCCTTTCATGAAAAATTTTTGTAACAAAAATTCCTAAGTATTTGACAGAGGATTTAACTGGAATGTTCATTATATGTTTATCATTTAAATTGTGTAAAGGGAGGATTTCACATTTAGATAAATTTAACGTTAAACCAGAAGCCCTTGAAAAAAGATTGATGAAGGAAATAGCATGAGGAATAAAGGACATGTTCTTTAAAAACAAAATAGAGTCATCGGCAAATTGGGATATCTTAAGTACCTTATCAAAAATTTTAAGACCTTGGATTTGATCATTATTGACAATACCGATTGATAATAATTCAACTACTAATAAAAAAAAAAACAAGGGGAGATTGGGCAACCTTGACGCACTCCGCGATTAATATTGAATCTTTTAGTGGTGGAGGTATTAAGAATCACAGAGCTAGTGATATCAGTGTAGAACATCTTAACAATATTTAGAAAATTATTTCCAAAACCAAAAAGTTCTATAGTTTTAAATAAAAATTTGTGTTCAACGGTGTCGAATGCCTTAAAAAAATCCAAAAAAAGAATGATAGCACCATCTTCTACACTATCAGCATAGTCCAAAAGGTCAAGCACTATAATATTATTAGTTATATGACGACCTTTTAGAAAGCCTGTTTGATATTCACTGATTATTTTATTTAAGCCTTTTTGTAATCTGTTAGCAAATACTGAAGTAATTAATTTATAATCAACTGTAAGAAGGGAGATCGGCCTCCAATTTTCTACAAGTTGTGGGTCTTTATCAGGTTTGGCAATTAACGAAATAACTCCCTGTTTCATGGTAGCAGACATTTCGCCACTATTAATACATTCAATTAACATATTATAAAGAGGGTTTTCAATTTGGTCCCAAAAATGTAAATAAAATTCTACTGTCAGCCCATCTATACCAGGTGCTTTCCTTTTTTTCATTTTAAAAAGGGCATCTTTAACCTCAAGACGAGTTATGTTTGAATCACATAAATCATGAAGTTCTTTATCAATAGTAGGAATTTTCTGATGAATTGAATTTAGTACAATTAAGCAGATCAAAGTTAGAGTTATATAAATTACTATAAAAAGAAAAAACTGAATCAGATATTTGTTTAGGGTCTGTACAAGAGCTTCCATTAATATTTAGAGCTGATAAAGTATTTCTTTTAAGATTTCTTTTCTCTAGAGCGAAAAAATAGCTGGTATTTTTTTCACCCTCTTCTAGCCATTTTGCCCTTGAACGAATAAAGGGACCTTTAGCTAGATCAAGGTAGATCAGATCTAGTTGAGATTGAATTTTAGCTAATTCAACTTCATCTTCTTTAGTTAGAATTTTCTTCTGTTCCAATATACCTAAATTATCAAGTAATTCTATTTCCTTTTGTTTGTCTATTTTTTTAACTCTTTACTGCGTTTAACTGCAATCTTTCTGACATTATATATAAAAAACTCCCATTTATTTTTAAATCCTTCGTTTAATCCTCCAAAACTATCTTTGGCAATATTTTTAACACAAGCATTAAAGTTATCATCTTTAAGAAGATTATTATTAAATTTCCAGTACCCTCTAAGGCTATAAAATCCTTTCTGAGCCTGTAAGAGTTAAAGAGATAAGTTTATGGTCGGTTAATGGGGCATAACTATGAACAATTTCCTTAACATGATGTAAAGCTGAATTAGTAATTAGAAACAAGTCGATTCTAGATTGCAAAGATTTGTTTTTGTTAGACCATGTATATTCTAACTTTCCAGGGTTATAGAAACGCCAAGCATCAGCAAGTAATAAGTTGGCACAAAGAGATGCCACACCGGATTGAACAGCACCTTGAGAGGAACGAGGAGGGTATCTATCAATCAAATCATCCATGCATTCATTGAAATCACCTGAACATATAACGTATGAAGCCTGGAAATTACTAAGTTTAGACTGAACAACATCAGAAACTTTGGCAAACAGGGTCTTATTTAAAACTCTGGAATTATGACCGTAAACATTACAAAGTATAAACGTTGTGTTGTCCAATTTAACAGTCAAGACTATCCATCTTCCATTTTCATCTGCAACAAAATTAAGTACGTCTCCTTTAAATCGGTGCAACAAAACCATAACTCCTGCTGAATGCGAAGTTCCATGACCGAAATAGATTGAGTTTCCCCATTGAGATTTCCAAAATTTCACATCCAAGTCCGTAGAATGTGTCTCCTGACAGAAAATAATGTCAGCATCACTCCGTTTAAAGTAAAGAAATAAAGCCTTACGCTTCGTGTTTTCGCGAATACCCCTTACATTCAAAGATGCTATGCTCAAAGAATAAAACTTAAAATCCATTAAAAAAACAACAACAACAAAGTAAATAAATCAGTAAGAAAAAAGAACGATGAAGCTTACTTTACAAAGCACCACTCCAAGACCTATAGTCTTGAAGTTGCAAAAAACTTATCTAACTATGAACCAGGGGAAGCAGCATCCAGTAGACCTTTTTTGAAACAGTCAGGGATATTTAGTCATTCGATGCATCATCTTATAATTTAGGCTATTATTCAGAAATTATTCATTGGATTCGATTCTTTTCCCTTCAATGTAAGCAAACGGACCGCGGAACATGGCTCTTTTACCTTCTTCCCGAGCCTTCTTCACCCTTGGCCACAGTTTCTCTCTTGCTGCTTTATCTTCAGGTGACAGTAATTCAGAGATGCGAAGGTTGTTATCCAGTAAGAACTTGGAGTTTTTGGCAGCCCTCCAGACCTCGTCACGGTAGATGCGCATCGAGAAGAGAATGACGATGGCCCGCTTAGAATTCACATTTGACGGAGAAGATTTGCGACCAAGACGATGAACTACATCCACCACCCGATCAAGTTGGACTTGTATTTTCGGAGCAACTTTTGCAAGAGCATCGATAGTCATCCGTCTAACGTCTTCGCCATCAGACTCTTTCAAACCATGCATTTTGAGTGACCATCTTCGACTGTAACGTTGCGCCTCGGCTATATTTTCCTTCAGAGACATATTTTCAGACTTCAAATCTCGCATTTCCTTCTCCATCGCGGATAGTCGTTCATTGTGAGTTTTAACATCAGCGATGAGTTCTTGCACAGAAGTTGCTAATATATATATATATATATATATATATATATACACATATACATATACATATATATATATATATATATATATATATATATATATATATATATATATATATATAACATATGAGCAGTGTCACAGTCTTCGTCTGCACTTGTCTGTCTTAGTCATCTTCACTACACTTCCCAGTATCCTTCTTGTCTCCACACCTGTACTCACTCCCTCATTATCCACCTGTTCCTCGTCATCATCATCTGTGTCACCTGTCTTCACCTCGTTAGTGTTCATTTGGACTTGTATTTAGTTTGCCTGTGTTCAGTCTGTCTTGGTCGGTTCTTGTAAATGCTTAGGTGTTGTTGTGAGTGTTCTGCCTGTCTTCTTGCCTGTAGCTGTTTCCTGTTTTGTTCATAAGTAAACCGTTTATATTGGAGTCTTTTGCCTCAGCCTGTTTTCATTCACACCACACCGTGACAGAAGAACCGACCAAGACATGGATTTCCCTGCAGTAAGACTGCTGTGCCTTGAGCAAGGAAACAGCTCTCTTGAGGAACACCTAGAAGTTTTCCTGGATCTGGTACCTCAAACCAGTTTCCCAGATGACTGCCTTTGCACGTTTCTACGTGTGGGACTGAACAACACCACTCGAGCGCAGTTGTCTGGGGAACCTCAAGGAAGCTTTGCCCAATTTGTGGAGTGGGTGCTGGTATCCTGCGGATCTTCCTTCACTGTCGATGACGTCACCAGCCCCACTCCAACCCCAGTGCCCAGCCTGAATCCTACGGTTGGATTCAAGCAGGCAGAGCTTCCACCACTGATCCCGTCTTGCCCAGAGCCTTCACCGCTGGTCCTGTCCAGTCCAGCTGAGTCTTCCTCACCGCCAGAGACCGTCCAGCCAGAGACCGTCCAGCCAGCTCTGGATGACGCAGTGCTTCTTGTGGGATCCATGGCTGTTGTGTGTGTGTGGGCAGCACACACATTCATTTCAGCCCATGAACCCAGCCCTGAGCTTCCTTCGCCGCTGGTCCCGTCCAGCCCTGAGCTTCCTTCGCCGCTGGTCCAGTCCAGCCCTGAGCTTCCTTCGCCGCTGGTCCCGTCCAGCCCAGAGACCCCTTCGCCACTGGTCCCGTCCAGCCCAGAGACCCCTTCGCCGCTGGTCCCGTCCAGCCCTGAGCTTCCTTCGCCGCTGATCCCGTCCAGCCCTGAGCTTCCTTCGCCGCTGGTCCCGTCCAGCCCAGAGACCCCTTCGCCGCTGGTCCCGTCCAGCCCAGAGACCCCTTCGCCACTGGTCCCGTCCAGCCCAGAGACCCCTTCACCGCTGGTCCCGTCCAGCCCAGAGACCCCTTCACCGCTGGTTCCGTCCAGCCCAGAGACTGGTAATGACTCTGTCACTCTCCCCATTAATTTTTTTGGGGGGGGCCATAGGCCCTCGCCGTGGCCGCCCGAAGGGTCCTCACCGCCATGGCTGCCCGAAGGGTCCGCACCGCCATGGCCGCCCAAAGGGTCTCCACCGCCCTGGCCACGTCCTGCTCCGCCCTGGCCACGCCCACGTCCTGCTCCATCCTGGCCACGCCCACGTCCTGCTTCGCCCTGGCCACGTCCTGCTCCGCCCTGGCCGCCTTCACGTCCTGCTCCGCCCTGGCCACGTCCTGCTCCGCCCTGGCCGCCTTCACGTCCTGCTCCGCCCTGGCCGCCTGCACGTCCTGCCCCGCCCTGGCCGCCTGCACTTCCTGATCCGCCCTGGAGGCTTCCCGTCCCAGTTTGGCCACGCCCTGGCCAGCCTTCAGGGCACCCGCCCCTCCACCCCATTGATGTTCTACGGCGCGAGGTCGCGCCTTGTTGAAGGGGGGCGTTCTGTCACAGTCTTCGTCTGCACTTGTCTGTCTTAGTCATCTTCACTACACTTCCCAGTATCCTTCTTGTCTCCACACCTGTACTCACTCCCTCATTATCCACCTGTCCCTCATCATCATCTGTGTCACCTGTCTTCACCTCGTTAGTGTTCATTTGGACTTGTATTTAGTTTGCCTGTGTTCAGTCTGTCTTTGTCGGTTCTTGTAAATGCTTAGGTGTTGTTGTGAGTGTTCTGCCTGTCTTCCTGCCTGTACCTGTTTGTTGTTTTGTTCATAAGTAAACCGTTTATGTTGGAGCCTCTTGCCTCAGCCTGTTTTCATTCACACTACACCGTGACAAGCAGAAATTGCTAAACAAAAGCTTATTTGATATGGCAGTATATTATACAGTAAAAACTGTACCCAAATCTAGTCAACAAAATGTTGTCTTTCATATTTCGCCTGACTGTAACATTGTTTTTATGAAATATTAGGGCATATAAATGTTAATTTGCAGTTTAATACGTTGCGTATACAAAGACATTTTATTTCAACATATTTCAGTCGATTTTTACTCATCTCAGTAGGCTATAGCAAAGCATTTTAGTTGATTAAAGCGGTTTATTCTTTCACACACAGACACGCGATTCATATTTAGGCTAAACAGTCTTTGCAAATATGTACCCTTCATTCATCTCACAGAAACGCGATTCATATTATAGAAACGCGATTCATCTTTTTGCGGTTTACATAGGCCTACACTAATGTTATTCTATAACGTTATTCCACATTACAACCTACCTCACTCCTCAGCGGGATCTATTGCTCCTCATATCAGCACTGTTCTGAGGAAACTTTTCTCCAGGATTATTAGGTAGGCTATATTATGCCTCACTCGCGGCGCGCTGTGTTTACAGCTCATGTGGGTGTTTCACAGGTCTGAAATGGTTCAGAATTTGCGTTTGAATAGCATGCGCTCTCCGGGGTGTGGTCACATTACATTTGAATGAGCTCGACTGGAATCGCTCTCTTTTAATACAGATTTCACAAGCTGAGAATATTTGTTTTTTATATAAATTACTTCATTTAAAAGATGCGATCTCAAGCTTTATATCCGTGGGTATGTTTGCCTGTTTGTCTGAATTTTCGCGGAGTTACAGATCATTTTCGAACGTGTTTCAAATTGGAGTTCACTGACAGAGAGCATGCAGAACTCACATCATGTTAATTTTTCTTTATTTGGCAAAAAGCAAAACACTTTATTTTTATTGTGAGTATACAGAAAAAAAATAGAAACTGAACAGGATCGATTGATGTATAACACGAAAATGAAAGATCAAAATTAACAGAGCATTTTAAGTTTATCTTGCATTGCTAAAAAAAAAAAACATACACCCGAGGGCAAATGCCACCACTGCGTGCACTGTGATTTCTGACGTAGTGCAGAAACTACAGTCACTCTCCCCAGATGCGCCAAATTTTATCCTAGGTGATTTTAATCATGTAACCCTGAAAAAAACTCTAAGAGACTTTTACCAGTATGTCACCTGTCCTACCAGACGGGGAAAGACACTGGATCTTTGCTATGGCACAATAAGGGACGCTTATAAATCAACGCCACAGACCATAACTGTATACAATTCCTCCCCACTTATCGTACTGTCCTGAGAAGGGAAAAAGTGCAAACCAAGGCAGTACAAGAATGGACTGAGGAATCGGTTATGTGCCTCCAGGAGTGTCACGATTGCACAGACTGGGATATTTTTAAAGAATCATGCAAGGACTTGGATGAAATGACTGATGTTGTTTGTTCATATGTAGTCTTCTGTAGAGATATGATTATACCTAGCAAACAAGTAAAAATATACCCTAATAATAAACCATGGGTAAATAGGTCTATAAAAGATAGTATAAAGAAAAAAAGATATGCTCATAAGCAGGGAAATGCCTTTGACCTACATGTAGCAACCAAAGAGCTTAAAAGTGAGATATATAAGGCAAAACAGATATATAAGTCTAAACTGGAAAAAAAATCTGGCTGAAAATAACCTTGGCTCTGCCTGGTCATGTATGAAAACGATAGCAGGTATGCAGATGCACAGAAATAGTAGTCATGCTTTTCCAGAGGGGTTTGGATCAGATGTTGAGCTTGCCAATGCTTTTAATTCTTTTTTTACACATTTTGACAAGTCTGATTTTAGTCAGGAGGTTCAAGCACTCCAGTATAAACTTAAGGATGATAATCAACATTTAAACATTACATATGAGGATGTTGAAAATGTCTTTAGTAGGACAAAGATTAATAAGAGTCAAGGACCTGATAACATTTGTGGGCGTGTGATCAAAACATGTACAAAAGAGCCGAGTCACATATTCCAATATATTTTTAATAAATCCTTGCAGACGCAACATGTACCAGAAATTTGGAAGGATGCGGTAGTGGTCCCAATTCCAAAATGTAGTAATTCTAAAACACTCAGTGAATTTAGACCTGTCGCTCTCACCTCAATTTTAATGAAAAGTTTTGAAAATTTGATAAAACAACACATTTTAAGGATAACTGAACATGCATTGGATCCCATGCAATTTGCCTACAGGCCACGCAGGGGTGTAGAAGATGCCACTCTCACTCTGCTTCATTTGCTCCTCAAACATCTTGAGGGTAGTGGGTCCTATGCACAAATTCTTTTTATTGATTTTTCATCTGCTTTTAATACAATCCAACCATAGATTTTAGCTAATCGTTGTTACAAAGCAGCTGAAGCAGAGGCAAGAGCAGGATCCACGTGCAGCAGTGTTTTATTTAAATAAACTAGAAACTAAACAGACTTGGTAACCAGACTCAAGAACAGGACAGCGTGCATACAGCATTACAACAATACAAGAACTCACAAAGACTGGACTGAAACACAGGGCTTAAATACAGGGTCAAACGATCTAAACAGGATAACAAGGGGGCGTGGTTAACGGGAAACACCTGGGAAGACTAAT